TTTTTAATTTTTAATTTTTAATTTTTAATTTTTAATTTTTAATTTTTAATTTTTAATTTTTAATTTTTAATTTTTAATTGGTGAATAAAGATTAATTCTAATACAGTCATTCGGATCCCTTTGATAGTTTTTATTTTAATAGTATAATAAATTTTGCGTTAGTTAACAATAAAATTTGTCTAAGCTATCCGAATACCACAACAGTGAATGTACGGGCTCTGCAAGTTCTATGCTGGATTATCAAAAATGGCATTGAATCATAACTCTCGAGTCTGGTACTTGCAAAAGTCTGGTATATACATTTGTACCTGCAGAAAAAATAAAGAAAATTAAAGAAAATTAAATTCTATGCAAGAAAGATAAGTTATTAATTACCTGCAGAACACATAAAGAAAATTAAAGAAAATTAAATTCTATGCAGGAAAGATAAGTTATCAATTATGCGGCATAGGCATTATGGATATGTTCTAAATTGCCCGAAAAAGGTAATTTTTGAAGGAATAGTTGATGATTTTGAAATCGCCCGCTACAATCGCAAACGTATAAATAGTGTAAATTTGTTGTCTTCTTCTAAAACGAAAAAAAAAGTATAAGCTTTCTAAAAGTTATTAATCAGTAAAGAAAATTTTAAAAACTCTAGATCATAAATTATTTTCTACCAAAACAATTAATTGCAAAATCATGAAGACTTTTACTTCAATTTTGTTTGCATTTGCGATCATTTTCATCTTACTTGGCACTTCTGAAAGTGCTACTCTTGCTCGAAATGGAACTCAAGCTTTGACAAATGCGAAAAAGCGTGCTACTTAGTAAGTTTTCCAGATGCAGATTGAAAGTTCATTCAAATATTTTTTCATTGATTTAATCAATATTTTATTTTTCTAGCTGTCCTCCGGTAACACTTTCAATATTTTAAGTTTTAGCATCATTGACATTCACTAATCATTTATTTTCTCTTTACATATTCAGGATGCTCCTTATTTATGTTCTACTGGATATTGTTGCTACAACGTATTATACACTCAAACTTCCATTTTTCGGTAATATTGTTAAATAAATTATCTGTATTACTGATCTTTATATTATCTTTTTCGCATTCAGGCGGGTGATCGTTGTTGTCTTGATGACGTTGGTGGGTGCTGCTCCTCGGTAAATGTCTAACAATTTTCTTACTTCATTGTCCCATAAAAAAAAAAGGATTTACGAAAATTTCCTTGGAATTAATATTTTTATTGATTCCTAAGAAATTGCATAACCCACTTTTTATATGACAAGGCTCTAACCACATTATTATTACAAATTCTTTTTAATATTTTTACTGTAGAATACATACTGTTGCGAGGGAGGGTGCTGTAGATATGTTTAATACGCACGTACATACCTATTGTTGTATGAGCAGATGCTGCGTCGGTCACGGTCACGATCCCATTATATCAGAGTTTTCAGTGCGATCTAGAATTTTTTTTATATTATATGCCTTTTGTTGGTTATCACCAATTAATATTAATAGAAATTAATATTAATAGAAATTAGTATTAATAGAATAGTAGAAATAGATAAAATTTACTATTACCATTATCTATCTTTTTTTTTTGCCAAATTTTTATAATCTATTATTTATATATATTGAATGTAATTGGTAAGAAATTTGAAAATATGATATAAGGAGTTAATATAATAAATTTCTTTTATATTACGCTTATAAGTTATTGAAGTGCTTTGTTTTCTTTTGATTCCTATTTATCACTAACATAATTTTAAAAATCCATTAATAAATCATGCTGTATGCCAACTATTTTCTTGACACTCATTTTATTACGATCGATTAAGTTTAAGTCTACCGGCAAATGTTGCTCATTAGTGGTGATCGTGAAATCAGATACTTATTATCATAATTATACAATATCAATTTGAAATTTTTCTTATAAATAGAATTCTTCGTTAGCGATTAGTAAAAAAATTGCACGCTATGCCACAGTATATATAGAGATTTTTTTTTATCAGTGTGCCTGTTGCTGTTTATTTTAAACTATTTACTATTTCATTTTATTTGTGTTTAATTTAGTTGGTTATGATGATAACTTAGAACTTATGATTATGAGCATATGATTGAGTTGATTCTATTCGATAGTCTAGATAATATTAAAAAAAAATTGGAGAAGAGGCATTTTGTTATATATTTCTGCATAGCATTTATTAACTCGTTTTGATTTAATTTAGTTTTGTAAAAGTCTTTTATTATCATTTATCTAAATATTCATACTACATCTTGGTTTATTTAATTCAAATTAAATATTCAAATTAAAAGAAATAAATAAATTATTTTTATTGGATTTTTTATTAGACTATACAAAATTTTTTTGGCTTTTATAATCTAGCTGGCCAAATTTTTGAAAGCTTTTGAATTTATTTATTTAAATACTTGGATAGATATTCTAAAATTTTATATGGGTAACGTTAAATAAAATCGGACTTTTGTTTTTATTTTTAATTTTTATTTAAGTATTTTTTGATTTTTTTTTTATAAAATTTATTTTTTAATTTTTATATAAGTTAAATATAATTTTTTTTTAGCAAATCATTGTTATTTTTTAACTAATCATAAATAATTTCACTCCACTGTAGATGACCTCTAAAAAAAATAATTTAGGAGATTAATCAATAACAATTATTATTGGCTTTAATTATACTATTGCTTAATAGTCTTTTTCTAAAAATTGTAATGAGTATTTTTAGTTTGTTGATTGATACTGCTCTAAAATGCTCTGTTTATACCTTTAGTCGATTTTATTTTTATTATACAAAAGTTATCTGAACTTGAATCACTATTATACTATAAAATCGTGAAATACTGTATCTGTATACTGATAAGGATAAATAATTTTCCTACTGATATGTTGAAAACTTTTCTAATTGCAAATAAAATTTTTTAACGTAATCTTTATTCTTCATTACATCTTTATTAACTTTTTTTATAAATTAATAAAAGATTATTCACTGCACTTTTTCGGTTGTCATTTATTTGAAAATAATTAATTCGATTTTGTTTTTTAAACTAATAAAGAATTTATATCAATATTCTTTATAATTATTAATCCAATGATTGGAGTTAACGAATAGATACTGTATTTTTAAAATAGTATCATATTAATCCCCCCGATCACTATATCAAGATCACGGGAGGATTAATTAATAATACCCTGACTGTATGTGAATAAGCGGAAACGAAGTTTCCGCTAATTCCCAACGGATCAGGTTATTATTATTGCTAATACAACTACTTCGTATTATTCTCATGAGAACTCTGAAAACACTAATTTCAAACACTAGTGTCACCTATACTGCGAGAGATCCGTTATGTTTAAATATTTAGATCTAAATTTAGCTTAGACCAAATAAAACCTTTTCGTCTTTTTACAAATCTAACATGATACTCTTCAGGCCAAATAGTAATACCAATGCGTGCTTTATCTAAATCAGTTGGTATCGGTTTACCATCCTTACCTAATGGTGAGGCATTCTCTATTCTAAAACACCATAAAAGACGAGAAACTCCTAATAAAAGTTCCCCCTCAGCCTATTTTTAAGATTTATATTGAAAATTAAAAAAAATTTTTTTAATAATTTAAATCATTATTCTAAGTAAATTATGTATACCATATGCATTCCAGTACAGAGCCTTCTTCCAGCTCCAAATCCAAAATGGTCTCTATTTTCATAATTTCCATTTGTTAAAGCTACACTGCTTTCTGTAACTCCTAAAAACCTTTCAGATTTAAACTCTTTAGGGTTCTCATATCTTTTTTCATTCATATGAATTCCATATTGATTTAAAATCACAATAGAGTTTGCTGGAATATAATATCCGTATATTCGTCATCTTCTTCAATGCCATGAGGTATACAAAGATAAATTGGCCTACAATATCTTTGACCTTCTTTAATCATAGCACGTATATAAGAAATATTTTGTTCATCAGAAACTTCTGGTAAACAAGAATGACCAATTACTTGATCAAGCTCCTGATATGCTTTAGACTGCCCTGTAAGAAAAGTGGTACGTGTGATATCCCGTGCCATTACGGGTTTACGCGTGAATT